ATTAACATGCTGTAACACACAGTTTAAATTTAAAAGCTCAAATGCTGTACATGAGAGGTTAAGCTTTATTGGCTCCTCCTGGCGGTTTTACAAGGTGATTCCGCATGCTTTCTGGCATGACGTCAAATGACACGATTTACCCCGTGATACTGCGTGATACTGCGACACGCCCACCGGGGCATACCGTGAAATACCCCACCCATTTTGAATGGCTGCATCTGTATATAGTTGGTAGTATTACTGTATTACACTTTCTTTGTAAACATGTTTTATTAACACCCAAATCGCAGCGGGTGAGAGAGAAAAAAGTGAATTCTGTTTTTTTGGGGGTCTGTAGCTCAAATCCTGCATAACTAAACTTAGACACAAGAAGAGTTTTATTGGACAATGTTGTGAGGCTAAAGAAATTAATAACGATATTAATTTAAGGATTTAATGCAGACTGTAAACTCGATCAACCATTTTGACATGTTCCTTTTATCTACACTGCTGTCGATATTGTAGCAATAGACAAAATGAAATGCTTGGAGTTTGTAAGGTAGGGATCTCTATATTTGTCTTTATTTCGTGGTTTCATTAGTGACAAAGGCTAACCTATTAAATCTGAAGCTGAAAGTGTATTGTAACACATACATGTCAGCCCACAGCCATCTTTGAACTTGAGCTGCTGAAAGCTCATTTTCCTCTGTCACTTTGTCAATGGCTCACACAATAGGACTTGGAGGTGGGCAAGAGATCAACAGTTAGTTTATAAAAATAGTGTTGTATTCACATGTAATTAAATATTTTTACACTATTTAAGGTAAAGTTATTTACCTTTGAATCGTCCTTGGTTTAGATTCTCTTTGCCTTCTCTCCCCTTTATAATGCCGTCTCACTGTGCTTTCGCAAACAAAGATGTCCATGGAAGCCAAATGCTGTACAATGTCTCTTGTTGACTTCACATTTCTTTCATTTCTTTTCATCTTCATTATTTGGTGTGAAAGAGTCTTCTTGATTTTGGCCATAGTCCATCTCCTTACCAAAGCTATAGTGCAGTATGTTGTGTGTCCCGACAAATGGTACAGATAAACGTGTACTATACTGACGAGCTAATATCTGGGAAATTTTTCTTTCCTCAAATCGAACACAATATAAAATACTGAAAATTAAAACAATACACCAGGAAATGTGATAGATGCATTAGCAAGTTAATGCAATTCTATTGAAAAGCGGGGCATGATTTTCTCTCCCAGCCTCAGCGGCAGACAGCAGATACTTGTTTTCTTCCTTGATTAGCTGATCTGTAAGATTGTTGAGCGCAGTGGGGGACATTGGGGAGTGAGTGAGCTCTGTCTTGCATTGTCAGATTTTATTTTTAATTAAATGCATTTTAATAACATGCGTTTGCGACTTTAAGATGGGGGTAATTGGGACTCTCTATGCTACTATATTACTATAGGGTAACCAGCAATCAAATGTCCTATTTTTTCCATACTATAGTTTGAGTCTTTGTGTAAGCTGTAAGTTCTTTTTACTTTTTAATTAAACATTTGAAACACTTTAATTTTGTAAACTTAACATGCATTCCATACAGAAATAAAATCATGTTTTCTACAGGTGTTAAGCAGATTAGCAGGCTACTGACAAAATGGCGCACCGTCCACCACTGCCCAGTGATTCAGTATAACTTTAATATAAACAAGATCTAGTACTCGTGCAGTTTTTACCAAAATCATTTTTTTAATTAATCGAATCCCAGTTGTGATTTCATAAAGCCTGAACTACGTACTATACCTACGTTTGCGAAACACCTGATCATGTACTTTCAATGCTTTGTGTATATTCTAAACACAGTGGGGGCAGGGTGTGTGAGGACAGGTTTAGGTTGAAATTGAATTGGGGTTCTGTATTCTTCACATCTGAAACATTGCTTTCCCTGAAAGTGTTTTCTTCTTTGTTTAGCTGATCTTTTGCGGCCTACGCATGCTTACACAGCTTCCTGGGTGAATTCTCATACTTGACTGAGAAACCTTTTGAGAACTTAACATTTTTATTATCAACAAATTGTAAATATGATGTTTACATTGACGTTATTAATTTTTCACTTGAGTGTATGAAGGAGTGTCAGCTGTCAATGAGAGCACCCCCTCTCTTAGGCTGGGCAAACGATTTTTTAAATTTTTAAAAAAGAAACAAAAAATGAGATATAATGATGTTCCTGCTTAACTTAGACATTGCATGAGTTTAAAAGCTATAAAAACAGGTTTTGATAGTTAATAAACACGTTTTATATGCAAAATATGGGTGAGTTTTCTTCCTAGTGATCAGCTTAGAATCTTTGTGTACGCTGTAAGTTTTTTCTTCTTAATTAAACCTTTAAAAAACATGAATTTCATAAGGACAACACACATTTCGAACAGAAAAAATCATATTCTGTTTTCTTTCTGGTATGTAGAACAGGTCTTTTTTTCCCCAATTGCTTTTTTCCCCTGTATTTATCATATTGGCTAGCTAATGTCCTCTCTATGCTAGTTAATGTTACTTTTGGCTGTGTTTCTGTTTTGCATAGCAACGAGGGACTATATTCTCAGGCGGAAGAATGTAAACAGCTTAATTTTCATGTTAAATAAATTTTTAAAATAAAAATTCATTCTATACAGCAATCACATATTTGGGGACCGTTTTATAAAAGCAATAAGGCACTCGAGGCCTGTGCTATATCGTGGATATAGTCACGGTTAAAAGGGCTGCCAGCCCTCCGCATCGCATCGGGCCTAACAACACCTTTTAACTGTGACTATATCCACAATATACAGTAGGACGAGTTCTCGTGCCTTATTGCTTAAATTAGATTCTGAAAAGTATGAGTTTCTTTTACTGCGATAACGAGCGCAAGTATTCATGGAAAATGGTAATCACTTAACTCACTTAACTTTGAACGTTTTGTGATATTTAGAAATACCAACAAATTTAATATGGTGTCGATAATATTTATTATCAGTAATAATATCAGTAGCAGTTTGAAATTATTCATTGTTATTAATAAATGACTTAACTTTGAACATGTTGTGATATTTAGAAATATAAAAAATGTCCATAATATTTGGTATTTTAGTTTTTCAAAGAAATGTTTATTTGTTAAAAGAAAACTCATGGCAGCCACTGGGCTTAAACCACAGACCTCAGGCATATAAGGCATATGCTCAAGCTATCATGCCACAGACATAATCACGTGGAAAAGAGTGAAACTGAAAGATTTCCAAAGACAGTGTACTACTGTGATCATTTTAGCCAGAGTACATGAATACGCGATTCCATATTATATTCCCTATTAATCAAATTCTAAAAGTCTGCTTTTGTTTACTCCAATAACGAGTGTATTTGCAGAAAAGGTTAAAACATTATAACTTTTTACAAAGTATATAAACTTAATATAGTCAGAAGGAGTATGTAAAAATGTTTCCAAAATAACCACATGTAAGACTTTGATGCTTAAAATGTTTAGGAAGAAAGTGGAATACTGGTATGTATTTTTTCTTTAAACTACCAATACCAACCATATACAGTTTACATAATATGTTTATGTTTCTAAATTAATATCGTTTATGACCATCAGACGTGTTATGCCCCTCTTCTTTTTATGCTCAGCTACTAAAATTTCCCTTTAGCTGTAAAATTCCATATAAATATTCAATACTAAGCAGATTAAAACATGCACAGTAAAAAGATTAAATGATTTAATCTTTTTACTAACAACCAATGCACCACGAGTGCCCTGTCAGTCATTTTGGCCAGCCAATCATGTACTGTGGTACAACGCAGTGACCTGAGGGTAATTGCATGCGGTATGGGTTTGTACCGTGCATTTTGAATGGCTGTATCTGTATGTACAATACATGCATCTATATTGTAATCAAACCAGGCATAAAAGAAAAAAAATAAATGTACAAAGTACTTAAATGTCAGGAATGATAGGAACAAAATACAAGAAATACAAACTATTCAATTGGCAGGTAAAACACCTATAAACTAACTGCTCTCTCTGAAACATCTTTAACAAAGACTGCCAGGAATTATTAGCACCAGATTTTTTTTCCTATCAACCTACAGTACCGATGATCTCTTAGGCCACCTCCTGTTCCAGGTTTGTCTTAACAAGAGACATTCTCCAACATTCATACAGTATCTCTCTAGACATAGTGATGCTACTTTTCAAGAAGCCTTTCTCATTGGTTACTGGTTCATATCAGCAAAATGGTATAGAATGTTATATGGATATACCATAATCCATAATTGGTATAACTAGCATGACACCCAGCATACAACGATATACACATAAAATCTTTTATGGGTGGACCTAGTCTAGTCTGTCAAGTAATTATAGTACAGAGATACACTTACACTGAAAGAGAAAGTGAAATTTGCTTTTGTTGTTACATATACTGTATACTGTATGAAATATGAAATAAAACTTTCAGTCCTGTAAATGGCCAGAAAATTAATGCTTCTCCAAAGCCAATGACTGTGGTGACAGTGAGACAAAGGACAGTGCCATTAATTGATAAACATCTTAGAAGTAACCATGACAATCAATTCTGAAAGTGAAAATTAAATTAACGTTTGTTTCATTTTTAGCAGGCATCTTCTTATTGGTCCTTCATGTTTCCTATAAATATACAGTATGTTCAATGAAACCACTGATTTAATCTCTTGGATTTTTCTGGTAGGTCAGACCAGGGCTTTGCTTTGAAACGGGTAAGAAAAATTATTTTTAATCAATGAGAACTAGATTGAGTAACATTATCAAAGGTTTGGAATGCAGTAGTTGAGTAAAGACATAGACATTGGACAAATTAAATAAAAGCCTAAAGAAGAAGTAGAAGTTACATTATTATTACAATGATTTAATTGTATGGTAATTATTAACATTTATACAGTACAGCATAATACTTAGCAACATATTGACCATGCAATTCCTAAATTACTCTGAACACTATTTGCATTTACTTGGTAAAAAATATATTACCACAAAGTTACTCAGTAATTATTGTTACGTTACTCTCACTTATTAATCTACACATATGATAAAACTTTTCATTTTTTGTATATATTAGTATGATAGAAAATATTGATTTTTTATAGAATTATAGTTTTATTTAATTAGGCACAAGTGTTTATCCCAATTTTCTAACATGGTATTCAAACATAAGGTCTTCTAAATCAGTCAAAGCAACCAGACGCCAATTATGTTACAGTGTATGTAAATATTTAAAATCTAAACACACATATAGGACAAAGAGATCTTGATAAATGTCAGAAGAGGCTGTTTTATGAAAGTAATATTGTTTCACAAAATTGATCCTGATTGATTGTCACACATGTAATTGTATTTCAATACAGAGATGGGTGGTTCCGAATCACAACCAGCATCAAACCCAGGTAAGATTCAACTTTCATACATAATCTAAACAAATATTAGAACAAGAAGGTGTCTCAACATCCAAAATATTGTTTCTTCTTTCTACTTTTCACCATGGAGTTAATCATTACTTGTTCCCTGTGTAATAAACAATGCACTTCTCCTATGTAGTGAAAGACAGGCTTCTAACTTATATGTAATTTAATTCCACAACAAAAGGAATTTATACTATGCCTGTGTAATCATAGCCGGCCCAGGGACGCCAAATATGTAACGTTGCCATATTAAATGTAGTGTGCTCTCTGAAGGCACCAGTTCTGTAGGGTTTGGGCATTTACTGGAACAATTATTAATTGTAGCAGTAAATCACAAAATT